GATCAGCAATCGGCTGATCCCTGAGATTGGAGATGAGAAATGAAGGCGTCGCAGGCTACGACCTCCCATCCGTTCATCACCGCCACGGCCGACAACAACGCAGCCAAAGCTCTGGAGCAACCGGGGACCAAAGCTGAAGCAGTAGAAACCGTAGGGAAGCTCGCAAGAGGGAGCGGCAGAGCCTCGCGGCAGATCGCGGCAGCTCCAGCGAAGCAGAGATGCAGACACTGACACCAACCACCCAACACAGATCCTCTGCCCCAGCGTCCCGTGGCGCACTATCCTCGCGATCGGGATCCCGGCCGAGGCCGTAGAAGGCAGGGAAAACGGTGTTGAGTAGCCGGGCTCTCGCCGATCATCGTCCATGGCGGTGCCGAGGATACCAGGGAGCCTCCATCGCCACGAGGTGGTCCTTTCTGCTAGCAACCGAACCCTACGGGTGTTCAGCTTGGGTTTTTTGGGTTGCGGCCTCGCGCCGCGCGTTTTTGCCCCACTTGGTGGCCAAAGCAACCAGGACAGGAAACCTCCACATTTTGATGGGTCTTGAGCACGGCACGGTGAAAATCGGCAAATGCTTTCACGTGATTATTGGCCGAACGATGGAGTGTTTTTCCTCGCCGTCGCGGCCAGTCAAGTGGTGGTCCTCGGCACGAAGCACCATAAACGACTCGGGCTTGGCAGCGACGGTCGAGCAAGTTGGTGAAAGTGCCGAACTTCGCCTGCGATAGGAGCAACGGCCGTTAGGAAGACCTGTGCTTCACGGTCGGCATGGTCGGCGTCGGTGCCATCCACGAAGAACGCGGATGAGGAGGATCACTTCTTCTGGGAAAGCTTGCCAGCCGAGCCGACACACTGGGGTGCACGTGCTTCTGGATGACAGTGGCGAGTGCGACAGCGAGTTCCTGGTCCCACATCCGAGAACATCCAACGTAGTCAACCCTCCCAGAACACCCGCATCCCCTAGCAGGGAGGACACAGTATCCTTAGTGCATGGCTAATCTTCTTGAAGTCGCACTCGTTAATTATTCACAGAGAGCAATACATTCGGTTGCTCACGGCTGTCCAACCCACCGACAGCCAGCAACATCATTGCCCGGATGTGGTCCAGGATCTTTGCTGCAGCAAGCACCTCTTCCAGCCTCTGAAAGTCCTGCTCCTTTCTGAACATGTACTGCTGCATTGTCTTAGCCTGCGTGCTCCATGCGTGCTAGCTGTAAACGGCACGAAAACTTCAGCAGGACGCGGATTCCTTTGTCCGAAGGCTTGCTGGCGGAGCCTTGGTGATGAGGATCGGGTGGTCGAAATTGCGAACCTCAGCGTAGGCAGTGCTGGTAAGGCCGGTGCTCGGAGCGCTCGCGGCCAAACCACAACTCTCCGCACCTTTTTGCATACAGCTCCGGAACAGTCAACTGCAAGCCTTGACATAGCTTGGCCCGGGCGTCAAGAATCGGCAGCTATCTCAAAAGGGCACCCTGCAGGGTGAGCCGCAATTCGGGGGAAGCGTAAATGTGGCATGCTGAACATGTGCAATGCCACCGGATGTTCAAATGGTGAATGAGCTCACCGACTGTAACAACCACTCAAACAAACGGCGCTTCGCGTGGCTTACACGGCATGGACCTGAAGGCACGAATTGCTACCGGGAGGCAAGGGATGCACAGACATTCCGAAATTCTTGTGCCAGAACAACTGCTTGCGTCCTCGTGCGAGCCTGCATGGTGTAATCTGTTCGAGATCGTTGCTGTTTTGCTTGCCGCCTTGCGGCAACTGCTTGGGCGACCCCTGTGGGTGCACGGTCTCTTGGACAGTCTAAAGTGCTACAGCCACTGCGACTGCCGTTGACTCGCCGTCGACTGAAAATCCTGAGAAGCCACAAATGGCCTTTGCAACAGCCACTCAGAGACTTGCCCGGGGGTGGGGTGCTTGAGCAGTTTCTGCCTGCACCTCGAATGCATTTACACATTGTCAACTTCCACTTGAGAATCGGAAATCCTTCGTGGAAGGCACCTAACTAGTTTAGAGTCTACAAATCCTCCTTGTCCTCCTTGGAGTCCTCTTCGGAGTCGTCCTCCTCCTTGTCCTCCTCCTCGGCCTCTTCCTCCTCCTCGGGCACCTCAATCTCCTTGAGGGGCGCATCCGGGTTCACGCCGAGCTCCTTGGACATAAGTCTGTAGACATGGCTCACAAGCGCGGACGGGTCGGCGATCTCGAAGCCAGACTCGATCAACGCGGTCTGGAAGAGCACCTCAGCCGTCTTTGCGGCGGCCTCGTCGCCCTCGCTGGCCTTCACCTTCGCGAGGAGGTCCACAATCACCGGATGGTTCGGGTTCACCTCCAGCGTCTTGCGGCCGGCCATCATGGAGAGCTGCTCCTTGTTCTGGAAGGCCTGGGACTTCATGACCTTCTCCTGCTGGGCCGAGTAGCCGAACTGTGAGGTCACCACCACCACCGGCGAGTCCGTCAGTCTCTTGGAGACCTCCACCTTCTCCACCTTCACGCCGGCCTCCTTCATGGCACCACTTTCAGTCAAGTCCGTCAGCTTCTTCTTCCACCAGTCCGTCAAGGGCTTGTACATGTCCTTGATCTTATTGAACTTCTTCTTCTCGTCTTCCGTCTCGTCCAGCTTCACGTCGGCCTTCTGGATGGACACGAACTTCTTGCCCTCGTAGTCCGCCAGCTTCTGCAAGCAAGGCTCGTCCAGGTGGTCCGGCAGCATCAGGACCTCTAGGTCCTTCTTGAGGAAGATCTGAAGGGCCGGAGCTTTCTTCATGGTCTCCAGGGACTCGCCGGACATGTAGTAGATGCTCTCCTGGCTTTCCTGCATGCGGTCCAGATACTTATCCAAGCTCACCTCCTTGCCGTCGGACTTGGTGGTGAAGAAGCGCAACAGCTTTGAGAGCTTCGAACGGTTCGAGTCGTCCTCGTAGCAACCCATCTTCAGGTTCTTGTTGAACTCCTTCCAGAACTTGCTCCAGAGACCCTCCTCATCCTTCTTCTCCTTCTTCTCTTCCTTCTCCTCCTTCTCCTCGTCTTCCTTCTCCTCGTCCTCGTCGTCGCCGCCGGACTCCTCGTCCTTGGCCAGCTTCTTCATCAGCTCCAAAACCTTGCGCACCAGCTTCTTGGAGATCACCTTCATGATCTTGTTCTGCTGCAGCTGCTCGCGGGACACGTTCAGGGGGAGGTCGTCTGAGTCCACGACGCCTCGGACGAAATTCAGGTACCGAGGCAGCAGCTCGTCGAACTTCTCGGCCACCAGCACGCGGCGGACGAAGAGCTTCACCTCGGACTTCTTGGTCCAGTAGTTGTCCATCATGTCGAAGGGGGCCTTCTTTGGCAGGAAGAGAATCGACTTGAACTCGATCTCGCCCTCGGCATTGAAGTGCGTGTACGCCAGCGGGTCCAGGTAGTCCTTGGAAATGCTTTTGTAGAACTCGTTGTACTCCTCCTCTGTCACATCCTCCTTGGCACGGAGCCAAATGGCCTTCTGGGTGTTCACCTGCTCCCATTCGAAGACGGTTTTCTTCTTGGGCTTCTTGTCTTCCTCCTCCTTCTCCTCTTCGTCCTTCGTCTCTACGTCGTCCTTCTCCTCCTCGTCATCCTTGTCGTCATCATCGTCATCCTCCTCGGTCTCTGCATCCACCTCCTTCTTCACCTTCACGTAGATTGGGAACTGGATGAACTGGGAGTACTTCTTGGCGCTCTCCTTCAGCTTGTCTTCGGACAAGTAGTCGTGAGCATCCTCCTTCAGGTGGAGCGTCACCCTCGTGCCTCGGCCCAGGGTGTTGCCTCGAGGGTCATCCACCACTGTGAAGGAAGCATCTGCTGAGGACTCCCACACATGCTGCACCGGGTCATCGTTGCACTTGGAGGTCACGGACACCTTGTCAGCTACCAGGAAAGCACTGTAGAAGCCGACGCCGAACTGGCCAATAAGGTTCGCATCACCACCCTCGGCCATGGCCTCCAAGAAGTTCGTGGTACCGGACTTGGCCACGGTACCCAAGTTGTTGATCAAGTCCGCCTTGGACATCCCGACACCCGTGTCGATGATGGAGATGGTCTTGGCATCGGCGTCGTGCTCGATTTTCACCTCCAGGTCCTTGGTGTCTCCGAGGAAGGACTCGTCCTGGACACTGTGGAACCGTGCCTTCTCCAGCGCGTCCGCGGCGTTGGAAATCAGCTCGCGCAGGAACACCTGCTTGTCTGTGTACAGCGAGTTGATGATGATGTCCATGAGACGGTTCACCTCTGCCTGGAACTCATGCTTCTCGGAGCCCTCTGCCATTTTGGCCCGGTCGGTGTCGCTGAAGCCATCCACGACCTTGTCCGCCTCCTCCTCGCCGTGAGCAAGGCCTGTCGATCCAAGCCAACTTCTCTGGCTGAGCAGAACATTAAAAACGCAAGGTGCCGTCAGGTGCCGAACAAACAGCTGAAGCCATCATCAACCTGAGATCTCAGGGCAGGGCCTATACTCACGGCGACCAAGGCCAACCGCCAGAGCCACTGCATGCTGTGGCGCGGGGCTCCCTGCAGGGCCGTAAGCTGAGATGTTACGCGCTCTGTTGAATCCAACAGGTTCGAGAGTACGTCAGTAATTCTGGCAGATGGAAGGAAAGCTTCTGCAATACAGTAGTCACGACGCTGTTCTCCAGAATGCCCCCACAAACAAGGGTACGAGACCTTGACAAGGCCCCCAGAAGCAGTTCCTCACTCTTTGAACCTTGTGAGTTTCCCACCTCTTCCCCGGGCACTCGCTTTCGCAAGCAGGGTCAGGGGCAGCGCAAACAAAATCTGAAAGCCAAATTCAGCAGGGGCCATGGTTTGGTCAGGGTGCAACATCTGAAGATGAGATCTCGCCGCAAGAGCCCTGTTTGGAACCCGTTTTGGGATCTTTGCATTGTTTTGCCTCCCTGATGCCAGGAACCATATTCCAAACACGCACCGCCACTGGTTGTGATGGCTCCAGACAACTCGAAGACACCTTCTCTTTTCTAGCTCGGTCAGCTCGCGTCTGGCTTGGTAGCGCCCGGGCCCGGGACAATCTCGCCCGAAGGAAACGCCTTCCTGGGCTGCAACGCACACCACGAGGGAATGCCGAAGCCCCGTGTGGAAGTGTGGGATTCTCGAACCTGTATGGTCCGGGGCGCAGCTCCCCGCTGTCCAGCCGCAGCAGAATGAGCCCATTCTCCTGAGCTCGTCGCAGGATGCCGGGACAAGTTCACGATTGCGTGTACACATTACACACATCTCCAGGTACGGTTTTATGGCAGACGCCCACCTTCAGAGATCCCGAAATTCCCATGTAAAGTTCACGTCCCGAAACGGACTCTGGCAGACTCTCGACCCGAATCTATTTTGGCCGTGACTCCTGGATGCCCTCGAAGATGCCTCAAGTTTGGAAGTGTTCATAGCAGACCCCATGAAAGCTATAGACCCGCGAATGCTAAATTCCTACAAGGCCTGTCAAGCGAATATCTCTAACAAGTCTCAATGCATCACCCAGTTTGAGTGGAACTGGAACGCGACTCGCAGTCTTCGGCGCTAGCGCACCCAAAAAAGCGTGAGATCCAACGATCGAGTCACAACGGACCGGCTCTTCTGACTCGTGGACTCGAAACCAAACCTGTCAGGCAGATCGCAGTGGCAGATAAGGCCACAACCCTAGAGCGAAACCGTTCCTGAGTCTTTTGCTAGCCGCGCCTCACTGCCGAGTAGGACCTCAAAGCCATTTACTCGATCTCGCAAAATGGCAAAGCCAGCGAGAAAGAACCTGATCGTGCTTTATGACTTCATGGACGCAAGTGGTCAGGATAGCCCGTCGGGAGGCCATAGGGAAGTCTTGCGATGCGACAAGGCTGGATCTGGCAACGTTCTCACAGAAAAACTGTCGCCGTCTCAAGGATCCAAGTCGAAGAGCTTCTCGGACAAGCAAAAAGTGAAAACATTCAAAGCTGTTGCTCTGAAGCGTGAGCCCCACGTGCCTTTGGAGCTCCAGCGCAAATGTGCCAAGCAAACGCCGCCGAATCCCTGCAACGTCGAAGTCGTGGCCACAGATCGCCCGCAGCGACGTTGCCGGCCACACCGGCCGAGCAATACTGGGCTGCAAAGGGCACAGGAGTGGATGCGGGGCCAGGAGTCTGGATGGCGAGACGGTCTTTGCTGGCTTTCCACCTATTTCAAGAACTTGACCACGCTCCGTACAATCACTGCAATGTGATGGGACTGCGGTTGGTGCATTGGTAAACCAACATGCAGCAGACTTCGTAGAAGCCCATCACATGTCCGAATGCCGGTGTCCTTAAGCCCAGTTGCGCATCTAAGTCAGCTGGCGAGGTGTTGACCTCGGAACATCGCAACTCTGTCTTGAAATAAGAACATTCCACTGGGTTTAACACGAAAGACGCTTCGGACCTCAGGAATGTTTGCAGGCTCCAAATGCATCAAATCGGTGCGACAGAGAGACAATTGAACAATCTGCGCAAGCGTGCAAACGGAAGACAAGCATCCAAGCCGTGCTGGCGTATGAATGCGCTTATCACCTCACCCAGAATCCCAAGTGAGCTTGACGAAACGTCTAAGCCTGCGGGATCATCTGCTCAACTCCTGTCAAAACCAAAGATAGACATGGCCTCCCATTGCTCTTGTCGTTACCAAAAACCGCCCGTTGACTCCAGCAACCCACCCAAGATGACGACCGAAGACATCTACTGACAACCAGGAGCGTTGATACCAATGCCCACGATGATGCCGTCCAGTCGTCCTCGGACAGGTACGGCTCGAGCGAGGATGCCCCCGATCTTGCCACCTACAAAGATTGAGTTTAGGCTCTTTGTGAAAACGGATATCATCATGATGGTGATGCGTCATGTTAATGTTGATGATGAACATGCAGATGAAGATGATGAGAATGATGAAGATGAATATGGTGATGATGACGTTGATTCTGACGATGATGATGGTGATGATGATGAATACGGCGATGATGGCCATGATGATGATGATGATGAAAATGATGAAGATGATGAAGATGAACAGGATGATGATTATGACGATGATTATGACGATGATGATGGTGATGATGATGATGATGGCGATGATGATCAGGATGATGATGATGATGACGACGAACCCCCAGGCCCAAAGCCCCGCGGCCCAAGGACGTGTGAAGCTTTGGAGTGTCTGGGGTTGGTTGGCGGGGCTTGGCGCTTGTTGTTCTCTTCTTGGGTGAAGTGCACGTATGAGCGATGCCGCTCATGGCGCTGAGAGCAGCGAAGAGTCGGTGGAGGTCGAGGATCTATGTGCAGCCAGCACGGAATGATGACGGAGACGGCAGCGGCCTGGCGTGGCAGCAATCCACAGAGGAAGCCCGGGGCGAGGGTGGCTCCTCCCGAGACGGGGGCCCCAGCACCTGTTTCCGCAGCGAAATCCTCCGAGAGCTCCTCCATCGCCGAAAACATGGAGGAAGAAGAGCCCACTGACTCCCACGGAATCCAGGGCTACTGGTCGGATACCACTGCCATCGGCACACGAAGTGTTTTGCACACTTAAGACGGCAGCTTGGTGGACTGGACACTGCCTTCTTCGAGATCCCTCGCATATCGCGTGGGCGCACTTCGACGACGGCTGTGAAGCACGGACTGGTAGGCGGCACAGGGTCTTGCAACCCAGAGACTGGAAGGACAGTACCTGCGCGAATGGCAAGACTTCGAACACAAGGCGGCTCACCAGTACCACACAGGCCGCATGGATGCAGAGGATTAGCCCGAGGCCAATCTTGCGTTTCTGGGGTCGTCCCATCCAAGCCTATCACAAGGCATGTCGAACCGGCCAGCCCACCGGAGCAGCCGGCCGACACGGCCTCCACGGCATTTGCCCTGCCCGTAAGAGCCATCCTCGCGTAGTTTCCCAGTCCAACAATGGCCGATCCGGTCCCAAGTCCGGTAGCTATCCTCTAGCCTTGGTCATCCATGCGCAAGGCGATTTGGTAGCAGGGGCGAGGGTTCCCTCTGCTGCCGGAGCAGGGTATGAAGCGAGCACACCAACGTGCCAGACATCGTGCGGCCACTTCCTCCAATGGAGGCACGTGGTACCGAGGCCAATGGCACACAACACAGAAGATAGGTGCCCTACCCGCTCCGAATTGCTCTCCGCCTTGGAGGTCTAGACCGAGACCTCGACGATCCCAACCTCAACACGCCAGATCGATCAGCCTCTCGTCCTGGAACACGGGGGGACTCAGTTCTGCCATGTATCAGGGCTTGTTAGCTTGGCGTGATCAGCAATCAGATCTGGACTTAGTGATACTGCAAGAAACGCAGTGGGGCCAAATCAATGACTTCGTGCGGCACAGACTCGTCAGAGCATGGCAGGCTGATGATGATAAACAAATTGATGTTCAAGGACCCCTGTGCGCAGGAAATCATCCCAGGTAGGCTCCTCTTGCTTAGGGCCACCCTCCGTAGTACTAACCTCCCGATTGCAATCTACGGTGTCTACCAGCATGTGGAGGAGTCACCTCACCACTACACCTAATCTTGCTCTCAGACAGGCCACGTGGGCCCGCCTGGATTCCTCACTGACAGCTCTGCCGCAGAGGTGCGAAGTTCTGCTTCGTGGCGACTTCAATGCTACCTTGAAGCCTGGAGCGAGGGTTGTTGGCCCCACGGTTCTAGCCCCTAGTAGCGCCCATGATGATTCCTTGCAGACCCTGCTATGTAAGCATGCCTCGACGGCTTGAAACGCTTGGCACAATCGTTCGCCTGCTACGATCTACAACACGACAGGTAGCTCGCAGATCGACTTTGTGGCCACCCGGCAACACATGTCCGGCTGCCCAACCAAATACGCCAAACCACTTACAGCCTTTCCAATTGGGGCCACCAGGTTCGCTGGACACTACCCAATGCCATTCTTTAGCCAACATCAGCCTCCCACTGCAGCGCCCAGAGCTCGTATTTATCTCACTGCCCTGCAAGAGCCAGTTCGCAACAATGGCCCTGAGGCAGTAACTCTGAGCCAGCTCATCTCCCATCGGATGTCAGAGGTCCCTGCGCAAGACCTCGCCGCAACACAAGCCAGCCTCAACACCATCCTGCTGTAGGCCGCAGAGGCCGTCTTCCGCGCCACTGCGAGCCAGGACGTCCGGGTCAGCAGTGCTGACCCCAGGTATCGTGCATCGGCGAGCAACACATGGAAGATTTTTCGCATTGCCAAAAGACCTGCTGTTTGCACTTCTCGAAGCATCTGGCAGAAGTGGAGGCAACTGACAGCCTTTGCCAGAGCCTCTGCCCAGCTCCTCAAGCAAAGCAAGTGTCTCAAGAAGAAATTCCTGCTTGGCCTCATTGACAACACTGAGGTCGCCGCTCAGAAGACCTGGAGAATGAGCCACCTCCCCAGACATTGTCGGCTGACCTAAGTATAGAGGATAAAGAATTGGTTCAGGAACTGGCCTCTCTTGGCCTTAGCAAAGCGGTGCCTAAACATATTGCCCCGACAGCACGCTGGAAACTGTGTGCCACCACCATATAGGACCGGTGCTTGGAACGGCAATCAGACACCACTTTCAGAAAGGCAAACCAGGCACCCTACAGGAGACTGGAAAGATACCCATGTCATCTGGCTGCCCAAGCCGTCGAAACAGCCCACCACGGTGGCAAATATATGCGACCTACTGGGCTCCAAGGTCCAACGAGCAAGGTGTTGGCGGCTGCCCTTCGAGAACGATTGCTGGCCGAGCTGCTGCCGGCGATTCGGCACTTTCCTCAATTCGCGTATTTGGGCAGCAGGATTCCCCCCCAAATGCCAGGGGAGCATGGCCCTCTCACTAGACCTCTCCTGGGCCTTCGATAGTGTTCAAAAGGGGTTGGTATACCAGGCACTTCGGGATAATGGAGTCGACCAGGCCACGTTTGAGGTGAAGCAGCATCTCCACTACGAGGCGCGCTATCACTTTGCTGTGAGTGACCATGCCGGGTGTACTAAGACGTCAAGAGGCATCAAACAAGGATGCCGCATCGCACCCTATCTTTGGTCCTACTTTACGTCTTCCTTCATGTTGCTCCTCCGCAAACAAAGAAGTCAGGAATGGATCCATCAGGTTTTGACGGTTTTCGCTGATGACTGTTTGGTTAATCAAGATGGCTTCGGATTTTGAACGGGGCAGAGCCGACCTTCAGCCTATCCTTGAAACGCTTGAGACGTTTCAAATGAATGTTAATCCGCCGACCCGCCTCGGCCGCTCTCCCCAACAGTTGTTCCCCACGAGCCGCTTCCCCCGCCCCCTCCTTCCCTCGCCTCCATGCCCGCGAAATTTCGCCGGAACCAATTTTGTCGGCCAAGGCGGGGCTGGGGTTTCTGTGCACCCGACCTAGCAAGCCTTGTCCAGCTCATCCCTTCCCGCACGCCACTCCCCCCTCTCCTTCCCGCATCATCAGAGCATCAGCAGGGCACGGCGGAGGGCGGGTGCGGGCTACATGGAGGGCCGACGAGGACTGAGAGGGCAAGGGGAGGGGCAAACACAAGGACAAGGGACAGATGCTGCCCGCCCGTGGGCGCAGCCCCTCGAAATATCATTCTCTTGCGCCGCGGAACCACAGGACAGGCAGATTCAGAATGGCCCCAGGCAAAACATACCTCGAGCACTGACCATTGTCACCTTTCACTCCGGCAAGCATGTGATCTAAATGAAAAGTCCCTTTGCAGAACGTGCCTTCACTCCGTCGAAGCCTCTTCAAGTTGTAGAAACGACATCTTTGCGTGGGGTGATACCAGACCCAGAACCACTGAGCGAGACATTGAGCGCTTTCAAGCATATACGAGCATGCCAGCATAACCTCACACATGAGGGCACTGTTCAGTGACGCAATTACTCGTCCGATGGCACATGAAGCACTAGGAGTCACATACACTAGTGTTCCCTCAAAGTCCACTGCCGCGGCTCGCGGCCAGTCCACACTCTCAAGTGCAATGCCTAAAGATGGCGTACCACCGATTCCTATTGCCCAAACACGCAAGGCACCGCAACCAAAGCAACCACCAGCGAAAAGCACAGCACCCTCACAAGGGATTGCTTCCAAGTCTACCGCTGCGCCCAGGCGCACCAGACGAGGTGGACAGAATCGCGGAGACGAAAGAACTCGTGAGAAACAGCAAATCGCTGAATCGATTGCTTATGATACATGGCTTGCAAAAAAAGCTATCAGCATGACAAGACATCACCCGTAAAGGAATATCTGACATTCCACGTCAGCAGCGTGAGATCGAAACAACAATGGAATCCGCGAAAGAATACCAACTCAGAACACTGAGAGAAATAGAAATTTATGACGACGAAGATCTCTGGACAACTGAGTTCGAACCTACGGTCGACAGATTGCTGAGAAGCTTGGCCAACCAAGAAATTGAGACAGGTGACGACCAAACAGTACGGGTTCCGCCCCGCCCCGCAGGTTTACTGACATTCTAACTCAATGCAAATCCTTTCAGACCTCCCTCAGGAGGCACACCGGGGAACATGCTGAAGAAGTCAATAGACACAGGAACACTCTCTCAAGAGTTGATATCCTGATGACAAGCCTTAGATCAGCTCACTACATTCTTAACCAAGCAGTTACACGAGGATCAGACATCGAGCGAAGGTACATCGTCAGGCTCCAGAATCGAACCAATACTTGTTCCAGTTCCAAGCCCTCACAAGCGATGTAGATGGCTTTTCTGCAGATGAAGCACCAGATACCAGTCACGTTCGCAAAAATCCGCCATCGGATCAACACTGGGACAGGATGCTTGCAGAATCAGCTGCAAGAGAGGCTCAACACAAAGCTCTTGTCCCAACTTTCCCTCTCCATCCAACGGTGCACACTTGGGACAATCTCCACCGAAATGCTCTACCTCCTGCAGGAGACGAGTCAGAAACCTCATGGCCTTTTTCACACGGAAGACGAAAACGGCCCGTAACAGAGCCAAAAGCAACCAGCTAGCTGTACCGATAAGTACGTCGGCACCGCCTGCACATGAAGATCTGACATTTCGCTATGCCGAAGATCGACTGTTTCTCGGAATCTTTGATTCGGATTACGAACATTACGGCTCTGAACCTGACGAACCGCATCCAGACACAAGAGCGGAATCATACGTCAGAAACTCCACCGATGGAGACCACATGGGCTGATGCGTACCAAGTTCTCACACAAGAACCAACGCAGCAAAGGTGTGTGTTCTCTCAAGAACATAAACGCACATGCACAAATTCATTCTGAGCACTTAGAACCTGATCTGTATACAGATGATCTCTTCGACAGCAGCAGACCATTAGCAGAGTCCGCATAGGGAGTGCGGAACTTTGCTTTCTGACATGTCCTAGTTCTCCGGAAGACGAATATATGAATTGTTTTTCCTGAGCCCAAAACTCCGCATCACACTTGATGACACGGCATTAGGCATACACGTCTGGATGTGCCGGTCATGCTTTCAAGACAAGAAATTAGAGTCTGTTTGAAACCTACATTCCTGTACGCCCTGAGGCGGTATATGCGGTATCATAGGTACATACAGCAATGACATGGTGGCATCCTCACATGTATATATTCCGTCGCCCATTCTGTCTCAAGTGGTTCAAGACACCACCGCTCTGTAACAACCTGCTGTCCGTGCAAGGGCTCTCTCCCCTCCCCCTCCATCTCCACCTCGCCCTGCCCCTCCCTCCCCGCCTCCTCCTTGTCCTCCTCCCACTCCCTTGCGCTGTTTGCAACTCTTAAAGTCTTTGCAGCTGCAACTTCACTTCCTTTATGACCAAATCATCGTTGTCAGCAAGCTGGGCAGACCAGCGCATGTTAAATTTGACAGGATCTCATAGCTTGAATTGCACCTGCAAGGAAAGTGTGAGCGATGGCTGCCGTTGACTTTTTGCAGAAAAATCTCTCTACTCCTTGTGGGCCGGCTGTCTGGTCTTTCGGCGGCGAAAGTTGTTGTTTGCGCCGAGTTGTTCCGAGTTGTTCGAAGGCTCGAAATCCGTCGTGAGATTTTTGATTTGCAATTTGAGTCCGGGGCCCTGCAAAGCGCGGACTCCAGGCAAGGCCCCAGTTGTTTTCGGCAACTTTGTCTCTAGCGGAGACTTGCGAAAAGGCGGTGCACCTCACAACCTGTCTATGAGGTTGCTATTGAACCCCTAGTGCTTCCGACAAGTCTAAGTCGAGTTGGCACTGAGCGAAATCCCGAGTAGTGGGAGAACCCTAGCCTCAACCGAAAGCTGCCATGTGGAAACCTCACAAGTGAAACGACATCGGATGTCACTGCTGGCCTGCCACGACGACATCGTTGGGCCACTTGATGCCAAACTTTTGCGCGCCATCTGTGGCCCAACGCAATGTGTCTACGGCCGCCACGGCCAGGACCTAGAAAGCGAAGATGACGGAACAGAACTGTGTTCCTGTCCGACGAGATTGTGCTTTGAGCAGACCACACCATTGCAAAGACAAGCAGATACTGCCATCAAAAGCCTGAGCGCCTTGGTCACGTTGGGTGCATTCGAGTTGACGAAGTCCTGAGTTCCAGTTCGATGATTCTAGCAACTCAAGGCTCCGCGTCCGTAGTTGCTCAAGAAAGTAATGCAGCACTACTCTGTGCACAACGTCATATCGGGAGGCATTCAAGCGGAAGTTAGAATGGGTCACTTTGATAGTTTCCCGGGGGCTGGGGCAATCCAACTCCGGCCACGACCTGCCTCCAGGCCTCCAGAACTTCTTTGGTCTCGTGCCAGCTGATGCGTGCTTGGAGATTTCCGGATGCAATCCAAAGCCAGGTAAACTGCAAACTGGATTGCGTCCAAACAAAGACCGAAAGCGTAAAAAGTCTGCTGCGTTGTTCCTGGGGTCGTCCGTCTGCTCAGCAGGGAAGCGAAAGAAAAAAGAGGCCATCACACTTTGGGCCTCTACACAAGGGTGCTTGGGAGGTCAGAGTTGAGCAAAGCTGAGGAAAGACGGAGGCAAGCAAGGGACACCAAGGCACACAGAGTGACGGATGCCAAGTCGGAGCCCGCGCCTTCGTCGCATGCCAGCTCCGCCCGCCAGTGCCACGGCCTGCAGTCTGGAAGTCCGCAGTCACGGCCGTGAGCTTCTCCTCGAGGCCGAGCACAGAAGAACTTGAGCTCCCTATGCTCAAGACTCAAGTCAAGCTCCTGATTGAACTTCTCGTGCTCCCGCTCGACAAAACTCTGTGTGGAGTCGATCTCCTCCCGAATTCGCTACATCGGCTCTGCAAGATGTTTCTGTGCCAGAGATAGGGCATGGTGAATCCGTGCAAAGGTACCAGTCAGGTAAGGTCATGGAAAAGAGGGACGGTCTGCACAGAACTTGGCGGGTGTTACGAAACTTCCATGCAACGCCAACCATTTCTGCGATCCAGAAGGAAGGTCGGGAGGCGGAGATGCGAATGGAGCCACCTCTATGCTTTCGGAATGTAGTTGTGAAGCAGAGGGACCGGAGTGGGAGCATGACCGAAGGACGCCGAAAGTGTCAATCATCAACAGTGAGACCAGCGATAGCTTGAAATGGCAGCATTCACTTCCCGCTTGCTCTGCCACCCGGCTGTTGCTGTGGTCCTCGAAGTGTCGGTGGTCGACCCACTCATCCAGGAGCTTCTCAAGAGCACAGTCGGGGTCCGGACATGCCTAAGTATGCTGGGCACATCGAACCCCTGCAAGTCTCAGAGCCCTCGCATCTGCGTATCTGAAGTTGCTAAGATGACCTACAACTCCTGTCGCCAAGCAATGCTGAGAAGCTGACCATGTGCAGCGTGCGATTGGCCTTGTCTCTGTTCAGCAAAACTTGGCTTGGGATGTGATCTGGATATGCACATGCAAACCACGGAATGGTAAGTTCATGACTGTTGGTCGACGCATCAGCAAAGGTGCCGGGTCGCTGGCACTGTGCCGAAGTGGTGTTGCCCTGGTCTAGCTTCGGCTTCGGGTTGGTTTTTCGGGAGTGATCGAAACGAGTGGGATCGTACCTAAAGGCATGATTCCCTGTGGTTATACCCTGCTCTGAAGATGAGAAAACATCCTGAAATACAAATAAGTCTTGTACACGTCGGCAGTTTTGCGGGGATGGGGATCCGGAACTTTCACCGGAAGCGTAGGATTGCACACACGCATGTGTTGATAAATTCGTGAAACAACAACCGGTTATCCATAGACGGCTCAACTCGGCGTCCGAGGCTCGTGGAGCATGCATGATTTGAGTGATGTTATCGATGCAAGACGGCGCGGATGCGGTCCACGCCATCAGGAGCTTGAGAAGCTTGCCTGTTACGACCTCGAAGGCTTAATACGCTGAACGTGCTCCCGAGCGGACTTCGAGACCTCCGAGGTGTATTGTCATGGAGCTTCAGAGCACGCCCCGAGCAAGATGGAGAGGCGCGTAAGAGGACAGCAAGCACACGAACGGGTGAGCGAACAGAGTGGCTGCACATGTCATGACATGAATTGTCATGGAAGCAGAAAGGCAGTGCATCGCCGCCGTCCGTTTCCTCGTGCACATACTCCCGAGCTCATTCCCAACTCTACAGCTTTTTGTGGATTAGGACCAGGCAGGTGCAGACCAAGCAGGAGGAGGGCTTGCACAGGTGGAGCCTGGTTCAATAGCATGTTTGATGCATGTTCAAAATGTTTGATCGTCAGAGAGGAATGTTCGGCAAAAGTAAAACTGCAGATTCCGCAACCTGCGATGGATCCCATGTCAGCTCCTATTTACGACTACTTCTGCTCTAGTCACACTCCGACTCCTAGACCTCTTCCTCCCTTTCCTCGTCCCCTGGCCTAGACCCACACGTACTACTCCTCCTGCTCCCTCACTCCTCAAGCTCCTCCCAACCTCAACACCACAAAACCTTGAGCCAAGGATTCTTCCAGCTAGGGTCCAGAGTTGTTGCAAAATACATTCTACTCTAAGACCTGCTGTAAGGTCAGGCTCGGGTACGATACGTGTTGTTTTCAGGAAAGCCCGTCCGGGCCTGCGCCTTAGCCGTGCGCGCCGGAAGAGGCGCATCCATCAGACTCCAGAGCCGAGTGTTGTCCAAGCTGTGTCTCTGTGTATGTGTGTGTGTGTGTTGTGCGTGTGTGTTCTGACTTGCTGAAACATTGCCGATTACATCTATTCTCCCCTTGCCCCATCGCCATTTGTTCTTGGTGCCTCTGTACATTGGCCTTCTTTCCCTGTTATGGCAGCGGCAAAGTCGGATTCTATGACCAAGAAAGAGGTTTTGATGCAAACCACGACAAAGAACTCCATGTCACACTCCGCATATTAGCATGGTGGCGTTGCAAGTTATTGCAGCAAATGGTGGTGTCTGCGACGCAGGGATGCAACAACTGAACGTGGCTACCCGAAAGGCATGCAGGGTCGCATTTGCTACCGATGCAGCTAGACAGTTAGAATTCTAGCATCTCTCAATTGGTCGATAAAGATCTACCGTCCATGCACTGTTCTGCACGTCATGCCACAGACTCGAGACTCCTGCTTCTCTTGATCGTGCAGCTTCGCATTCGAAATCTGTCGCAACATGCATGAAAGCATTGTCTTGACGTGCGCAGTCAAGAAGCCCCAGCAGCAGCAGCAGCCCAAGAGTTTCAAGACGCTGTTTCTTCATTCAGCTGAAAGCCCTTTAGCGAAGCATGACCCTTGATTGTTCTATCGGGCGTGCCAGACACGGAGTGCTGAGTAAATTATCGCTCACCATTGTCTTGCAGGTGATCCCCCGGGCGCAGCGATGCGCGGGCAGACGTCGAGCGTGCGCATCTTCTCAGCACACCTGGCAATGTCTTGCGTGTTGGCAAGACTACCCGTTCTCCGAAAAACTTTCCCGTTCAGCATCCTAAGAGACGGCTCCGAGTGAGGATTGGGCCCCGACGCAGCATGCATGCCTCATCATAGCAGTCATTCAGCTACATCTACTTACCTGATTAAATACTAATTGACTAACTTGCATTACAGCGTAATGTCCCGAACCTTTGAAACAGCGACCATGAGGCCAGCACTCGACTTTTGCATTCAAGGGTCCAAGTCGAAATGGCTAGTCTAGGGTTGCGGGACGAAGATGGTTTCAGCTTTGATGCACACAGTTTACAAGAAGGGGATGGCTGGTGACCTCTGTTCCGATTGAAACTGCCAGACCTTTGAAACCCCGGTCCCACCCCCAACTGAATCAGATGAAAGTAATCCCAGAAATGTACCCCATAGTTACTCCAACAATCTCCAACACGAACTCTGAGCCCGTGGTTCGCTCTCTTTTCCTGGCTCAAGCGACTTGGGAGGGAGGAGCAGCCCACCCGAACCGCATCACCTGCGCACGACTCAGACACAAGTTTGATCCGAGCAAAAAAAACTTCAAGGCAGCTGAAGACGATTGTGTGCCCGAGCAACAAAACTCAGATCAAGATGTTTGTGTGTAGCCAGGCCCTATGAAGCATAAGACTCCCAAGTTGCCAAGCACCAGCAGCAACGGCGTTTAAGAGTTGACGCACACCGAATGATGTGCATTTACAACAGCACCTTCCCAAGCTGTGTGGATCAACCCCAACATCCTGCTGCCGGGTCGCAAAGACGGATGCATTGTCGTTGGAGCCACCTTCATGGGCTCTGGCACCCACCTCCTGGTGCAAACACGGTTCTTTCACGGGCAACCCACCACAATCCGTTAAGAGCATCACTGAGTGCTGGCCTGAGCTGCAACAACAGCGCCCTTACGCTCCACTGCCAGCACCTGCCATCCAAGAAAATCGCTTTCACCCTGAAGAATCATTGATGGCATTCAGCTGGCAGCTGAATGGATGAAGACGGTTTGCGTTGCATGTGAACCCAAAGCCGAACGAAGGTCGTATACACGTTTTGACACGGAACCTGACCACGCGGTGGCGACTGGCGACGAATGTGTTTGTTCGTACAGTGCTCGTAACCCAACTGGGGACGCTAGGTACCGTGGCGCCAACAGCAACTGATTCACCATTCCCGATAATTTCTGAAACGCGCTTGACGAGAGGATTGCGGCTGGAATGGTCCATCAGCTGCAAAACAACTTGAGAAACCAAAGATATCAGGCAGCTCGCGGACACTCCTGTTTCCATCTGCCAGCACCGAAGATGCTTTCAGTGCGATTCTCAAGACGTTCAGTCGATTTCGCACATCCCGGGAACAACATGCTTGAATGTACCTTTGATCACCGTTTGGACGTGATCGCTGCCACTTCTTCGTCTTCCACAAGAACAAACCAACCGCTACTCATAACTCTCTTAAAGAGATTAAGAGGAGCACCACGTTTTGTCAGAACATCCACTATCAGCTGCCTTGTCGCCATCCATCTCAAAGACACGTTGAACTTTGAGATGTCTTCCTTCACCAGCATCATGTCGATGGTAACTCTCTTGTCCTTGACCGCCAGACATGGTCCGCCAACGTGCTCGTACACCGGCTTGCAGTCGATCACGATCTTGCAACTCCACTTGTAGTCGCCTCTCAGCTCGTAGTCTGGATGGATTGCCTCACACCACATCGACCTCATCCATCGAGCCTCAGCGAGCCCCCTTGACAAGGACAGTAGTTCAGCTTCCAGCGTCGAGTGCGTTTGGCGACTTCGCTTGTAGCTTTTCCAGCGTAGGACTGAAAACAGTCCTCATTTCCCATTCGGCAGATCACTGTCGCAGGCCGCCACCATGTAGCCTGCTTGACTGCAGCATCCCTCTGCGTTCGCCCATGATGCATCGGACAGCATGGCAAACTGAATCTGCTCTACCGGAATGTGCCTGATCCAGACGTAAGCCTCGCAGTTGTCATGAGCCTGACTCACAAGCTTGTTCATGTCAATCAGATCAGCAACAGTTGCATCACAAACGCGCTGTTGAAGCAATGAGCACCATGCACCAAGGTCAGGACGACTTCCAGGCACCAACCAGTTGCTTCCCTCGAGGATACCCGCATCTGGGTTCGTTCCTCATCTGAAATCTTCTCTGTCTTCTCTCTCCGACGAAGTCTGGACAAGTCCATGCGTTTGAACTGCCTCGCATACTCAGACTGATGAATCTTGAATCTTGATGCTACCATCGGGTTGCTGTTCCAACATTTTGCCCAGGAGTTCCCCTTGACCTGACTTCCAATTTTTGAACGGAAACATGGCTCGCAGAGGTTCAAGAACGTTTGCTTGTTCCCCCCAGCACACAAATCACCGACATGTAATGCTATGGTGCCTGCCACTTCCCCTCGAGAGTAGTAGAAGAACAGGCAGGGATCGAACTTTGACATTTGCCGTTAAAGCACTGCCACCATGCCTTTGGTGTGTCTGCCAATCCGTACACCGTCTTCACGGCCTCCACCAAACATCCGTCAGGTAGTCCAGGAATCCGCCAGGTGGAAGGTCTATGAAGTGGTGCGGACCATCTGATTGCATCAAAGCCAGCCAGGGTCTTCCGAACCAGGATCATGCACCCCTGAAAGCGGTGGTCCGAAGTACCACTGTGATAGACGTAGAACCGGAGCAAGCACCAGGAGTTCGAGAACCTCCAGTGCGACTCCTGCAAAAAGACGAGATCAAACTGCTCCTGCTCATGTAACCAGATTTGAACTTCTAACCAGGCCTCCTGCGAGAGTCCTCCAACGTTCCAAGTCATGGCACGTAAGCGCGGTCCTTTGTGATTGCCAGAGACGCTGGAGCGGCTCCGCGCAGCGGGCCGTGGTGAAGCATTGGTCGCGGAGCCTTGTAAGGTATTGAGTGTACACTGCATGCCAAAGACGGCCTGTCGGGTGCCTGCTGAAGGTTCCTGTGCCAAAGAGGCAGGATCACCCTTTGGCGTATTAAAGGTCAGGCAAAAGCTCAGGACAACGAGCACGAGTCCAGGTTCCTACCTTCACATCAGATGCTCCTTTGCTCGAAGCACTGAAGCGGCTTGGACCGCGACCCTCGCGAGGGGGATGCAAGCCAAGACCTGAGAGGGGACAAAGGCGTAGCGGCGTAGCATGCATGTCAGCGAGGAGAGGAGGGGAAGCTGACTGCAGAGGAGGCACAGTAAGCACATCACACACTGAGTGCACTTGAGGGCAAACCCTGAGGTGGGGGTTGGAGACCTACTAGGGGGAAAACTACTAGCCAGGGTGCATGCGGAGGCCAGCGGATGCATGTATGCCTGCTCGGGCTGCCAATCGTCAGCAGAATCAGGTGAGACTGCGCGATCCTGGTCCTTTACTGCCGGTGGCAGCGAAAAGGGGGCGGCTTCAGTGGAAAATGTTTATTGCGGCAATAGCTCATTCGCCATAGCAGTGGGTCGGCTCCCCGAGAGGGGGCCGCTATGTGGTGAAAGGGACCTGGAGCGAAGGAGAAAGCCCCTGAAACCTTGAGCGCCGGGATGTTGGTCAGCAATGGCCAGGGTGGTCTGAGGCGGGTCCCCCAGCCAAGCATTCATCGACGGCCAACATTTGCGGCGCTGGGTGAGCGGTGTTTGCTCCCTTTTGCAACATGGTTCCCCATCCATGTCAGTGGCAGGTACGGCCTCGACACGAGGGCCGCAGTGCCCGCCGTGGGTGCAACAGATGGCGACACACTTGTGTTAGAGGTCTTTTTTTCCCTCTGTCTATGCCGAGCACGAGCTCATGCTGCCTGCCTATCGCAGCTTTTTTCCAGCATGCACGGCCTAGGAGGAGCTGGCGACCTGGCGAAGCACCGGGAGTTCTCTACGACGCGATCCTCGGACCCTTCAGCATCGGCACGCCCTGGCTCCTGGCAGGGTGCAGCAGCCGTCACAGCCGTGGTGCCTATCTCCAAACAGGCCAGTGGCAAGGGCAGAACCTGCCAGAGCACCTCGAGCTCTTCCCAGGCCACCACACAGTCTCCGACCGCAGCTCCCAAACCGCCCATGCCCAGGCTGTGCAGCAAATACCTCAGAGGCACGTCCAGGACCGGCAGAGTGGAGCAGTCGCGGTCTGGGGCCGGACAGTGCCTCCACCAGCCCTGGCACCCGAGGCCCTTGCACGAGACAAATGGAGCACACTGATTTAGGCGGAAGCTCACGACCTGGCGGATACAGACGTGATCCGCGTGCTGCACTTGTTTCAGGCTGCCGGGGGCTATGTTGCCTCCACTTTCCATGACCTCAGGGATCAGCTGATGAGAGATGGGATTCACACCTCCCTGGGTGCGGTTGCCACTTCCACCGGTGGTGGGGAACTACGTGCTCAGCCTAGGCATCAGTCTCCTACCCCTTCCGTCCAGTGGAAAATACTATGGGCGACCTGGTGGAAGCATGGAGCAAATAGCTGAGACTTGGATCTCCCGCTGCTCAGCTTCTCGGCCCCTACCCCTTCGCCTTGCCGATCTGGATCGGGGACTGCTGTCATCACGCTCGGCTCCCCTAACGGGGGCCGGCCCACGAGATCCTGAGGAGCGGGGGGGCGATGGCCTTTCCTCGGAGCTAGCCACCTCCACTTCAACTTCTACTTCCTCCGCTTCCACTTCCATTCTTCCTCCGGCTCGTCCTCTCCCGCTGCTGCTTCTGCTTCCGGCTCCCTGTCGGGGCCGTGAACCTCGCCGGTGCTCTCTGCAGCTCTGGCTCGAGCCGCCTGGCGCTTTGCTCTTGCCAACAACTCTCCCTTTGCTCTTCGACGAGTGCCGTTGGGTCTGATACGGGCACGTGGTCCCGTTCTTCGCGGCATGGTGACGCCAAGGAAATGAAAGGTGCTTAAAGGGATGGGAATTGAAGTGAAGTGAAGCCAAGAAGTGAGGCACATGTTGGTAGCATATGTGCTAGCAGAGAAGATTTCTGGCTGGAG